CAAAACATTTTCATTCCTTCAAAAATGAAGTGTTTAAACGGTTGCGAGGGTCAACACTGTTTGGTTCCCTGTACGAAGGTTATCAAATCGGAGGTGAGCGAAGTGTGTTAGTTATGAATTTCTAGGCACGACATTCGAAAGCACTGGCGGGGGCTGTTTAGAATGATGCCAAGTTAAAATACTTGCTAACCAAATGGTAATATGCAGATCAACTAGCTATCACTTACAGGGTGAGATGAAAAAACTGCAACCAACTTCAGACTGCTGTCATTTTCAAGCCACTCGTCCGACAACTGTTTAAAATTATTCCAGTGACTGCTCATTATATTGTTTACAAGCGTACAAAAGCATTTTGGTGAGAATATTCCAGAAAAAATATTATTCGTAATGGAATAAAAGCGCGATAGTGGGATTTCTTTATATTTGGCTGGAAAACCACAAGTGGCTATCGTCAGAGCACTCCAGAATTTAAATGTGAATAAATTTTGTGTCTCGTACCATCGCTCGTTACCGTGATACTGGCAGCGTGGCCCGACGTCAAGGAAGTGGAAGGAAGAAAACAACAACATGAGCGGAATTGGTTCGAAAAGAAGCGACTTGATCGAAACCCGTGTCGCAGTTGCCGAAAAATGGCTCATGAGCTGAACTTATCGCAATATTCCACAATTCCATTCGGCAAATATTGAAAAATGAGCTCGGGGTAAGGCCGTTGAAATTCCAAAAGTGCAAGAAATTATACTCAAAAGAGCTAAAGAGTTGCTTCGCTTGGCCGAAAGTGGTGAACTGCCGTATTTGGTTTTCTCCGATGAGGAAACATTCGTTGTCCAGCAGTTTGTAAAAAAAAAAAACAAAATGATCGTGTTTACTTGCCAAAGAAGCCAGTTGAAAATGTGCACCTTCGGTTGGCCACCAGAACTCAAGCGCCGGTATGGTGATGGTGTGCAGATGGTCACTCTCCGCTCGTATTAATCGACCATGGCATCAGAATAAATGCCGAATATTATCGCGAAAATATTCTTGAGGGTGTATTAAAGCCTTGGGCACGCAAACATTTTGGCCGCACACCTTGGACATTGAAACAGGACTGAGCACCATAGCACCCAGCAAAAATGCCACTTAAGAATGGTTAAAAAATTAGGTTCATCGCTTCATTTCCGGCCAACAATGGCCACCAAAATCTGCGGATACCAATCCGTCCGTTGGACAATTGTGTCTGGAATATATTGGAAAGCAAGGTTGCCATTAAAAAATACCAATGTGTCGATCACCTCAAGCAAGCACTTCGCGGGAAATGGGCTAAAATACCGTGCCACAGGTTACCATTTCGAACAAATCTAAAGTGTGACCACCCTTCAAAACTACTCAAGAAATAGGGCCAACGTGTTTTTCGAATTTTAAGAAAATGAAAAAAAAAATTACAAATATAGATGATATTGGTCGGTCAAAAATATAATAAAAAAATCACTATTGTAGGTATAGAGGAACAGCACGTAAACAACGTGTTTAAAAATCCGCGTTTATTGGTATTATTTATATTAGAAGAATGTAGATTAACTTGGCCCTTAAACAAGTTAAACAGTATCGGTCGATGTTCCTTCAGCCCTCAGCCAATGCTGGATTATTTAAATATATTTTGATTTCTTTTTGACTCTATGGGGTAGGTTGGAAAGGAATGGGCCAATATTGTCCATTTCGTAGAGGACCTAAATAAAAATGATATAAATATTGCGTCGTGCCATATTTAGACTATATCGCCTACTTCCTTCACTTTATGTGAGATGTGTGATAATTTTTTGAATATATTAAAATGTGCGTGAAGTACCAGATATAGTCGACTGAAGTATTCCATTATCATATTTCATCCAATACAGAAAAAATATGGGAATTGGCAAAATTACAAGAAAATCGAATATTTATATCCAATTTTATGCGAAATCATGAATTCCATATCTGGTTGAGAGAAATATTTGGACATAAGTTGTAAAGAATAGCTGACTTGTTTCGCATGCTATGACAGATAAAAGTATTGGCAATTGTGACTTTTTGGGGGTGAGGTACCACAAGGGGTTCAGATATATATATCATCTTCACAAGAGATTTTGTGTTAGCAAAAATGTTTGTGTGTGTAAAATTTTAGGAGAGTTGAGCGCTTTGTTTTTCAAAATCTTTAACCCTATGTGTGGGAGGTACCAGAAGAAATGGTCCGATCTCTACCACCTTTATAAGACACCTTGTGTTGACGGAAACATTGCGATGTGCCAAGTCTGAATGGTATCGGATGTTAATTTCGCGTTTTATGAGTTTCAAGGGTATTCAAAATTTTAACGCTTTGTGTGGGGAGGTACCAAAAGGAGTGGACCGATATATCCCATCTTCGCAGCAGATCTTGAGTTAGTAGAAATAGTGGAATGTGAGAAATATGAAGAAAACAGTATGATTATTTCAGATTTTATAATCGTTTTGGTTATTCAAAATATTCACCCTTTGTTGGCGAGGTACCAGAAGCAATAGTCCTATCTCTACCATCTTTATAACAGAACTTGTGTTGCTGGAAATATTGAAATGTGCTAAGTCTGAATGGAATCGAATGTTAATTTCGTGTTCTATGAGTTTCATGAATATTGAAAATGTTGACCCTTTGTGGGGGAGGTACCAGAAGGCGCGGGCCGATATATTCCATCTTCATACCAAACCTTGGGTTAATAAAAATCTTTTGATGCTCTTACATCATATTTTAGAGTTATAATTATTCAAAATGTTGACCCTTTGTGTGGGAGGTACTTGATGGAGTGGGACTATGCTGGGTTCAAGGCCTAACCGATATGTATATTGTGGGTATCAAATGGACTTACGAGCGGTATAGGAATTTCCCGAGTCATTCCTGTCTGAAAAATTAGAAAGAGAGCCGAACCGCACGAATTACAGTGAGAGTTTTCTCCAATATTGAAATCGAGTGAAAAATACTTTGTTTTCTGATGTGAGTGTATGTGCGGAACTGATATTTTTGTTTTTTCTACTCCCAGCTCGGTATCGAGCTTTTTTCGGAGGTCAGATTTACATATGTCTCCAATATCATGTGTAATCTAGCCTTTACTGGATAGATATTCTCCTGAGAGTCAAATTGAGTTTTTTCTTTTTTTTTAAAGCAGACCAGATTTCATATCATGTTGGTGTCAAAAAGTTAGCAATCAGAGTGAGAAAAAAAACTGCAACAAAGTCAAACGCCATAATTTTTACATTTTATCGAATGAAAGCAAAAAATTTCGGGAATAGCATCAAATTTTAGAATAAGTTTGTTTGGTTTGTTTGAAGTGGTCACCTTTGGCACGAATTATGGCCTTCAAACGGCCAATGAAACCGTCACACGCTGCCCGAATGTTGCTCTGCGGTATTTTGCCCATTCCCGGCGAAGAGCTTGCTTGAGGTTATCGACACTTTGGTATTTTTTAGTGCCATCCTTGCTTTCCAAAATACTCCAAACATAATATTCCAACGGATTGGTATCCGGCCATTGTGCGCTGGAAATGAAGCATGGAACCTCATTTTATAACCATTCTCGGTTGGCGCGTTCTGAGTGCGATGGTGCTGAGTTCTTTTTGAATGTCCCAGGTCTGCGGCCAAAATTTTTGCATGTCCAAGGCTTTAATACACCCTCAAGATAATATTCGGCATTTATGCCACGGTCGAGCGACCATCGGCTGTTATGGCGGCCCACTCCATCACCATGGCCGTCGCTTGAGTTCTGGTGGCCAACCGAAAGTGCACATTTTCAGCTGACCTCTTTGGCAAGTAAACACGATTATTTCGTTTGTTTACAAACTGCTGGACAGCGAATGTTTTCTCATCAGAGAAAACCAAATTCGGCAGTTCACCACTTTTGGCCAAGCGAAGCAACTCTTTAGCTCTATTGAGTCTATTTTCTTTCTGTTGCGGTGTAAGTTCTTGCATTTTTTGGAATTTTAATGGCTCATTTTTCAATTTTTGTCGAATGAAATATTGCGACATGTTCGACAAAACGGGTTTCGATCAAGTTGCTTCTTTACATTTCTGCTGATGTTGCTACGTTCTTCCGTCCACTTCCTTGACCAGTATCACGGTAACGAGCGATGGTACGAGATGGTATACAAAAGATTTATTCACATTTAAATGCTGGAGTGCTCTACGCTAGCCACTTGTGGTCTTCCAGCCAAATATAAAGAAATCACATTAGCACGCTTGAATTCCATCACGAATAACATTTTTCTGGAAAATTCTCTCCAAAATGCTTTTGTACGCTTGTAAACAATATAATGAGCTGACACTGAAATAATTTTGACAGCAGTCAGACGAGTGGCTTAAAAATGACAGCAGTCTGAAGTTGGTTGCAGTTTTTTCATCTCACCCTGTATATAACCCATTTTTCAATTCCACAAGTACTGCAGACCTAAAACACATCTGAGTAAAATTTGAACAAGCCACTTCATTTCGTTCGAAATTTAGAGTGATTTTCACAGGCAGACAAACGCTAAGTCGACATATAATTTTATAGGGATCAAAATAATTTATATACTTTTTATCTAAAATGTATATTACGAGGTGTTGCAATAGAAATGCCAAGCATAACATACCCTTCATACTATGGCATAGGGTATAAAAATGCCAAAAGATTAACGTGGTGTATTGTGTAATCTGGCCTTAATTAGAGTTACCCACAATTCAATCCTACATGCAAACAGTGATCCAGAAGTCGAATTTCACAATGTCCACCTTTACCCCATCATTTAAAAGGTGCTACAAATTTAAAATTTTCTTCATTCAAAAAGTTTTCAGAAATTCCCCAAAAACACTCAGGAGGCTGATTGTAGTTCCCCCATATTACTGAGTGATGCCGTACTACATCCACATGCTGCAGCGAACAAACATTCCGCTGTCAGCTAATACTACGAAATGGCAACGCTAATAACGCTTCCGACGTATGAGTGCAACTCACCGATACCCAATATAAAATGCCGGCTTGTGAAATACTCTTTCACAGTCGTTAAGATCTCTTCCGAGCAACACCAAACACACAAAACGCATCAAACACACAAAATGTTCACGACGGTGAGACCAAATTTAGAAACGATTCTAACAGATTTAAATAAATTCATCAACATTGATCGGGATCGTGAAAAGTACACAAATCATTTCGAACAAATCAAGATTAATATATTTTTCCATCTGCGTCAAATGAAACCTTTTGGTTCGCTCTTCAATGGTTACCAGCTGGGAGGTAAGTAACGAAGGCAAAAATAGAAGAAAAACCAGTAAAGAGAGGCCGACTTTATGATACCCTACACCACTTTGCCAATTTTGTAGAGCTCCACACAACAATTAAAAGATTTTATGGGAGAATTTAATTATACACGCTATGATTATAATTGTAATTTAAAGTTCAAAAGACTAAATATGCCGAAGCATTTGTATCTTTTGAATTCGGACTTGTATTGCCTATTTGGTGAAAAATTAATTTGAAATCAGATAAAGATATATATGAGAGCTATATCCATATCTAAACCGATTTCGATAAAATTTGGCAAAGACATTTCTGAGCTGTATTTGATATATTTCCCCAAACATTGTTGTTACGGAGTGCATATTACGGCTGTGGATAACAAATACAACAAAAGGGATGAAAAATATCTATATATGGGAGCTATAGCTATATCTGAACCGATCTTCACCAAATTTGGCATACTAGCTTCTAGACTCAATTCGGTTGCATGTACCAAATTCCATCCCATTTATTCCAATATTAGACGTTTGGTGTACAATAAAAGGTAAATCGGCCGAAGTTATATATGGGAGCTATATCTAAATCTGAACCGATCTCGATAAAATTTAGAAAATGTATTTCTGAGCTGCAGTTGATATATTTCCCCAAATATTGTTGTTACAGAGTGCATATTACGGCTGCGGAGGACAAATACAACAAATCGGATGAACACTATATATATGGGAGCTATAGCTATATCTGAACCGATTTCGATCAAATTTGGCATACTTATTTTCAGGCCTAATTTGGTTGTTTGTGCAAAATTCCATACTACTCGGACTGATGTTACACGTTTGGTGCACAATAGAAGGCAAATCGGACGAAGATATATATGGGAGCTATATCTAATTTTTTACCGATTATCTCAAATTTAAATAGGGTTCGTCCTTGAGCCAAACAAATGTTGTTTGGAAAATTTCATCTCAATAGGATAATAAATGCGACCAGCATTTAGTTCACAAGAATACATGGACGGACGGACAGACGGACTGGCATGCATAAATCTACTCAGAAAGTGTTTCTATGGAGATTCTCAAAAGTAACTATGGGTCTATCTCGCTTCCTTCTCCATGTTACAAACAAATGCACAAAGACATAATACCCTTACCACTATGTGGTGTAGGGTATAAATACAGAGGAAAGCGGTGCCATATTTTTTTTTGCTGCATTGAAATCTGCTGGAATTCGCCAAAGGGGGGAAAACACCATCAAAATTTGCAGAATTTTACAATACAAATGTGTTCAACATGAAAATTAAAAAAAAAAGTAAAGAAGATTTAAGTTCGGCCGGATTTTGATTATCCTCAACCATTTGCAAAGACCTATGGAACGAATTTGGCAATTTTCAAAAAAAATAAAATCCGTTGAAAATACCAATATTCGGTATTTTGTTGGTTTTAGCGACATTTTTAAACAAATTTGTCTAAAAATTCTAATAGATTTGTGTGAAATTTTGTATTTGTACTTCAGAGTGGGTTCTACAACCTGTGTCAAAACATTGTCCATATTCGATAATTGTTTCCATATAACATTTCGGTATTTGAGATTTGATATTCAGTATTGTGATCATCTTAGTCACATTTACCCATGAAATTATGTCAAATTTGGTATTTAAGACTCGCAATAGATTACCATATTTGTAGTATAAAATTGTCTATATAGGCTCCCGTTTCGGTACGGCTTTCATATAACGCCTCCAACCCCTATGTTTTTTTTTTTTTTCTGAAAAAAAAATTACTGGAGTTTGTAGTTTAAAATGGAACACGTTTAAATCCACACACTTTTGTATACAATTTTTTTTCTTTACCTAATGGTGGAGGATCGTAGAAATTCGGCCCGGCCGAATTTTATGTCTTTTTACTTGTTTAATCGTATTTTTTCCAATAATCTTGAATTTTTAATAGCAGTTAACAAATGCTGCTAATAAAAATGCAAAATTTAAAAAAAAAAAAATTTGTAAAGCTATTAATCTGATGGAAACCGAGGCTATACATTGTTCCATGCTTAACAAAAAAAAATTTAAATATTCTAAAATAGTTTTTGAAGTTTGTATCAAACAATCCCTAGTTTATAAGCATCTAATAAAATCTGGCAACACTAACATGTTACTCAAATAGTAAAAATGCGTTTCTAGTTCAATGAAACATATCTCGGAAATAAAACAATATATTTGAATAAAAAGGGATACCGATTGCAATGTCAGCAGATATGCCCACTGGCCAGTGTTACAACAATTAAAAAGTTGGTACCGTCGTATAGTTTTGAATGTTTGCATACGCTAAATTTTCTCTTCCTATTGGATTTGTGTTGATAAGGTGGTTTGTCGTCAAGAACTTTGAATGGCGTCTCAGTAAAAAGTTTGAATGTTTGGTCTCAGTTACAATATTTGTTAAATGCATTTGACTGTATAAACCTGCCAATTCAGATGTTCTCTCTTTCATCTAGGAGTCTTCACCCGTCTCACCTTAGAACGAATAGAATTTCTTTTTTCCCCACTAGTAGCTCGATCACCACTTGTGTCGGGGTGGTGACAACACGACCGAAGCAAGTTTGCAGCCCACAATTGTGGGCAAGCTATTCTCCCTTGTATCAAACCCAGAGCGGCAAGATGTTCTAAAAGTGCAAAGATACAAAAATAATTTTACCATAAACATCAGATATTGGAAATAAACAAACAAACAAACATGATTCGGACAAATCATCAATTGTTTTTGTAATCAAAAAAAAAAAATTACCACAAATTCTGCACATACATTACGACGAATTCAATGTATTACTCACCAATATACAACTAAAAACAAGTTAAAAGGTATCAGTCGGTTTTGTCGACAGATGTATACCCTCGGCCAATGTTCGATTACTAAATACATTTTGACTTCTGTTATGACATTTCAAATTGTTGACCCCCTATGGAGTATAGAATGGGCCGTATTATCCATCTTCGAAGCAGATTTTGTGTTAGCATAAATAATGCGATACGTGAAGAGAACCGGCAGCCTATTTCGGATTTTATAATCGTTTCTGTTATTAGAAACTTTAATCCTTTGTGGGGGAGGTACCAGAAGGAATGATCCGATCTCGACCATCTTTAAAACAGATCTTGTGTTGATAGAAATATTAAGCTGTGCCAAATCTGAATGGAATCGGATGTTAATTTCGCGTCTTATGTGCTTCATAGATATTCATAATTTCGACCCTTTGTGGGGGAGGTACCACAAGGAGTGGACCGATATATTCCATCTTCACACTAGACCTTGGGCTAATAAAAATATTGTGATATGTGTAATGTGAAGACAAACGGACCTCTTACTTCACATTTTATATGAGCCATAGTTATTCAGAGGTACTTGATGGAGTGTACCCATATTATCAATTTTCGCACCTGACATAGCACTAATGTAAATATTAGGATTCACAAAGTTGGAGCAAATTCGGATCATCCTTTCTCGCTCTGTGCAATAAGAAATTTCCTTTGAAAGTGTTGACCTTTTGTGGGGGAGGTACCAGAAGGACTGGACCGATATTGCCCAACTCCGAACTTGATCTAAATTTGATAATAATATTACGATGTACCAAGTTCGGACCAAATCGGACAATCCCTTCGAGAGTTATTGTGCGCACTTGCCAGCAAGCCAAACAGACAGACGGACGGACATCGCTAGGTCGACTGCAAATTTCTTAAAACGGATTTGGTCCAAAGCGTCATAGGGTCTAAAACCGCTATTTCGATGAGGCACGTTTTGGCCGTATCAAATCATATATACCCTCTGTAGTCATATAGCTAAAGGTATAATAAACAAAATTTTAATACCCTCCACCATTGGATGAGGAAAACATTTTTATATAAAAGTAGGTGTCTGAATTCAAATGTGTTCCACTTTAAACTAGAAATACCTTTAATACCGTTTGGATAATGCATTAAAACTTTTCAAAAAACCATAAATTGGCTGAGACCGTTATATAGGGGCCATGCCAAAACGGAAATCTATATAGATAATTTTATACAGCGAATATACAATGTTTCGCTACAACCCGTTACGAACTATTAATAAAATTTTTTAGACAAATCCATTGAGAAATGGGGCATAAATTATCAAAATACGAAAAAATTCAATTTTTTTGAGAAAACCGTGAAAAAATATAGCGAAAATCATCAAAATACCGAATATCGGTAGGTACTGTTATATGGGAGTTATGAAAACGTGGAACTAATGTACAATGTTCCACCACCGGAGTTGAAACCCATTACGAACTATAAAAAGCATTTTTTATTTCGGTATTTTTTAAAATACCGAATAACGGGATGTACCGTTATATGGGGGCTATACGAAAACGTGGACCGATATATCTCATTTCAATGCCAACCATCCTAGACACGATACAAATTGCTGTGCCAAATTTTAAAGTTGTTGAAACTGTTGTAGGTCAAAATATGTATCGTGATTTCAACAGACGGACATCGTTAGATCGACTAAGAATTGTATAATGATTATGATTTATGGGATCTACGACGAATATTTTTCGTGATGTTACAAACGGAATGGTTAAGTGAATATACCCTTCTTTTCGAAGTTGAGGGTATACAAATAAAGAAAATTTACCACAACTCATCTTCATACATACGACGAATTCAATATACTATCAACAACCTCATGCACTTATAAATGGACGATAGTTTATTTTAAACACATTTAGAATTGAATGAATAAAAGGCGATAACAGAATAAAACAAATTTATAATTTCCTAGAACCCATAACGCAAAAATAAATAATAAGCCGATACCGAAATAAACCAATATACGGAACACGCATTCAATGGTTGAAATATGTATATCTTTTAGAAATATACACAAATCTCAAATCAAGACATGATACGTTATATTCTATTTTTATACTCTCGGTCTCATATGGCTAGAGAGGGTGTAAATCATTTGATACGGCCAATATGTGCCTTATCG